CTTTCGATTCCACTCAGTGCATATGACTTTGCAGTGAATTTCAATGACGTCATCTTTGTCTCAGCGTATCAACGTCCCAGTGTATCAGCGTCTCAGTGTATCAGTGTATCAGCGTTTATAAGACAACGTTCTATCTCTTCCTTCGTTTGTGACGCGATTAGGCCGATCTTGCAATAATATGGAAGATAAGGCGTGGGGAATTTAAAGTATGAAGAGTTTTTTCCGAAAATATTGTCGGGAAATATGTGAAAAGTATGTTTTTTTATCATATTTCTTAACACTACGGTGGGTTTCCTATGAAAGTGTGTTCGTCATTGATCAGATTGCAAATCGCCGGATTCCACATTGTATTTATCAACCAATCACGGCCTGGAATGGTAAGATTTGCAGCTAATATATGCGTCTGCACGAGTCTAGTTGGCAGCAAAGAATGAGCCGTTTTGTGGTGCTTGCAAGGGTGGGTGGTCTCTCCCCTGAGAGATAAACAATGTACACTTCTATAATGCAGGCTGGCCTAGAGCTAGAGGAAGACGAACTAGGCCTATAGGGTAGTACATGTGTGTAATAGATCAGATAACAGGAAATGTAGGCTACAAGTTGCTTTTATGTATTAAACCACATAATATTCAGATTAGTAGCGATGAGTGTTGTGTGCAGCACATTTCGTGTCAATGTACTGTAATTGGCCTGAAGAAGATGAATAGGCTGTCTGGGTACGTACGTGTGTGTAGGCATAGGCCCTAGTCTAGATCAGATACTACAGGAAATAAATGTAGGCTACAAGTTGCTTTTATGTGTATTAAACCACAGTGTTGTAGTCAAGACCAGGCCAACCGAGACCAAGACCACACATCCCAAGACCAAGAGGTCCAAGACCAAGACCAGAAGTCCGAGACCAAGACCCACAATTTTCGAGACCAAGACCAGCGTGTACAGTAATAGGATTTTTAAACAGCTGAATCAAATGAACCCAGTGGGCACAACTTGGTTGAAATAACGTTGATTCAACGTAAAATGCAAACATTGAATCTACGTTTAATTTTTGTTGTACAGTATATGAAAGTTTGCATCAACGTAAATCTCAACGTTGATTCAACGTAAAATGTGTAAGGTTCTTTCAACGCTAATTTTTCAACGTTGGAACAATGTCAAATGACCAATGTTGAATTAACATTGAATTTTGGTTGTACAGTATATGAAAGTTTTCATCAACGTAAATTTCAACGTGGATTCAACGTCAAATGCCTAAAATTGTTTCAACGTCAATATTTAACGTTAAAACAACGTCAAATGATCAATGTTGAATCAGCGTTGAGTTTTAGTTGAATATGAAAGTTTTCATCAACATAAATTTCAAAGTTGATTCAACATAAAATGTCTAAAGCTGTTTCAACATCAATTATTTAACATTACAATAACGTCAAGCGATCAATGTTGAATCAACGTTGAATTTTGGTTGTAAATGAAAGTTTGCATCAACGTAAATTTCAACGTCGATTCAATGTAGTATATTCAATGTTGAGTCAATGTCAATGTTTAATCCTTTAAACTTACAAAATACACTGAGTTCAAAATATACTTGACCATTTTTCTTTTATTAAAACTTGCAAAAAACATAAAATATCAGAGTTTTTGTAATATAACAACAGCTACTATGTCTAGATTTCAAAATATACCTATGCATTACTGTCGTCTTAACTGATGACCTACTATTGCACACTTAGCTTAATTAAGAATCTTTCGCGATACAGGATTCGGTTTAAATCAGTAACTTTCTTGGTGACAAATTATTTGAAGCTCTACTCCTTAGCCAAGTCTTTTCTTGTCCGACCAGAGGTATTGAAGCAAGGTATCCAAGAACCTTTGTGAAAGATAGAAACAAAACAAAAATATTTGAAACAAAGAAGACTGAAATATTATTTTAAAGTTAATTATATGGTAAATTTTAAAAATAGTAGTAGTAGTAGTAGTAGTAGTAGTAATAGAGAAAACATATGAATTAAATGATACAACAGGCTACGCCTCGTTGGAAGAAATATTTATAATTTCGCCTCATCAAAAAAGATAATAATACTGGTATTTCACTCATAAACATTCACTACCGGTATTGGAATAATGTTCAAGACTTTGTGTTCTTTACCTATCTTGCATCCAGAAATCGAGATATTTTTGTCATACCAAAAACATCTTGGCTTTTTAGTGGTAGGTTGTTGAGACTGAATTATTGTCGATCAGTACTCATGGTTAATCATAATGTATCCGTTTCCATATAATATTCAGTGGCGTAGCTAGGGGGGGGGGGAACACGTGCCCCGGGAGCCAGGTTTGAGGGGTGCTGAAATGGGAGAATGAGAGTAAAAAAGTAAGCACTTTTTAGAAAAACACGACAAAATTGATGTATTTCGTCAGGTATGAATATTTTTCAGTTAATAATAAGAATTTGAATGTAATTGATTTTATTGGCAAATTTATAGATTGTGATTTGTTTTCAATCCACTTCGACTGTTTTTTTTCTAGTTTTTTATCCTATTCTGTAATGACTACATGATTAAAGATCATCCTGTTATATATCAGAGCCACGATGGGAAAAGCGAGACCATCTGCTTTGGCACTACCTAGTATTGAGCTTAATCAACTTTGAACTTTGATCATGTTACAGTATTAACTTATTTGCTGATGCAAAAGCAAACAAAATTTATTTGCGAGTTTAAAATGTTAAAAATTCAGCAACTTACAAGACTATAAGATAAATTTAGAGAATAAGAATACTAAGCTGTATGCGATAAATAAAACAGCATTACAAATTAGGATAATGGTAAAGTTGTGTACAAAGTTCCGACCATTGTAATGCAGTTTTAATAGTAAGAAACAGGAATGGTGCTAGGCCCCCCTTCGGGGATAGCTGCGTCTCCACCTCTGCGTCTCCCCTCATAATTCGTTGGGGAGAAAAAAAATTATATGTATTTTGTACATATTAGTAGACTCTAAAATCGATTAAATAAGCCTTTGAAACCCATAAATTGTCAAAGAATTTCTGTGGCTTCGCCCCCCCCCCCTTCTCAAGACCACTTTCGGAAGATTTTAAGCGACGCTCGATCACGCCCACTTAGCTCTCGTCAAGGAATTCTTCCCCCTCGTAGGGGCATCGCCCTGCCCCGGACCTCGGACCCCACTCGGGCACATCCTGGCGTGTGCTGGAATAATAATAGTTAAATCGGGTTTGAATAATGTTATTATAAATCTAGATTTATACCAGTGGCGGACCGTAGGGTAAATTGCAGGGTATGCTAGGCATCGGCATATCTAGGATGTGCGAGGAGCGCGTCCCCGCCCACAAATCATGCTTCAAGTAGTTAAAAATCACATCAAATTACCTTTTATTGCGAACTATATCACCGATCCCTCACTTTACCTTTCCACCCCGTCGGCTTCCTTCCAAAGACCCCTACGCCACTGATGCTAGGGCTATAAATATGGAATGTTCTTTGTAATATAATAATTTATTTTGAACTTTAATCATTGAGCCTAAATAGATAGAATACTGTACCCGATCGGCAGTGGAGGTCCCGATTTGTGAGGACATGCGCACATACTCTTGGAAGCACAGCTTCCATTCCCGTGTTAAATTGGCTCTTCTGACGCCACCACACGGTTGTCACAATAGCAAATTTAAGCGTTGAAGGCAATCACTGAACACGTGATTGGCCGAGGTGGGTGGAAAATTAGCCATGCCCCTTTCCCACATTCACGATTTTTGCTACGATGGAGCACGATTTTAAAAAGTTTAAAAAGCAGCTGAGAGTACGATGCGATATGCGATACCAAAGTAAAAACATGCTAAATATTGAAAAACTTTGCTATTCCAATGAACTGTAGCAATCCACTCGAAAAATTAAGGTTTACATAGAAGATTGTGGCTAAGAAATGCTAAATAAAAATACTATATAAAAAATTAAAAAAAAAACAAAAACGAACGAAGACAGCATACAAGAAATCAATAATACAGCAAAATCGATCACCTCAAATCTGAAACTCGACGACCGGGTCGAAACCATTGCACAGAAGGAAGCCTTCATTACACTAAAAGACCACAAATACAACTTTCAAAACAAACCAAGCTGCAGGTTGATTAACCCATCCAAACCAGAAATTGGGCTAATTAGCAAAACCATCCTCGACCGCATACACAGCACCATGCTTGAAAAATTACAATTACAACAGTGGAAGAACACCATAGCAATCATCGAGTGGTTCAAA